GTTTTATCGATACAGGTGATTTTCAGTATCCATCTTACAACCTACACAGTATGGAAACTTCATTTGTGATCAGTTTCCGGTGCAAAATTTCAACAGCAACGATAATATCATAAATACGCAACGTCCAAAATGTAGCTCATTGAACAACTGATTTTATAAGTTAATAACAAGCAAACAAATAAACAATCATCATCGCTTGATAACACGATAAAAACGATAACAATCAGTGAAGAGACCATAAATATTGTGACAAACTAAGGACGATAATGAAAATATCAATTATAACGATATCAAGAGCAATACCAATTACATCGGAAACAAAGAACATATGAAGGCTCATTTAATACAATAAGAATAGCAACATACAATCAATATCCATGAACCGTTTGAAGATTATGTAACGTCGAAATAACTTGTGATAGTTTACGTTTTGCATCACATTCCGGGAATGTCGACATATCGTAGTATTGGGGTGCCATTTGAACCAACCTTCAAATCGACCATCATTATCAGCAAATAAACGAATATAAAATAAATGCGTCAAATGAATTCAAATATTCAAATAGACTGAACAATTCAATGACTCCAAAGAAATACAAAGCAAAACTGAAACGAACCAATCAGCTTTCACATCGGTGACAGTCCGAATATAATTTTTCGTTGTTAACACAAATTCATTATATAATGCCCACTCAGGTTTGTGATCCAATACAGTTGACGGATGCAACTGCACCAACTGATTATCTTTCACAGTTATGTAATGTCCACTCCGTTCCAAATGCGCCACCTTAATTTATCGCTACATCAATCATTCGACACAAAAATCAACATCAATCTGACCATACAAACCAACTGAACTATCAAAACCATTGTCTAATTATAAATTCAATCAAACAAAACAAAAGTCCGAGTAAAAATATCGTTCAAAGAGAGGATACTTTGCCAATGAAGTAATCGTCAGACAAACAAATACCTGCATGAAGAAGCCAGAGACCAATGCTTTTCGTATATTGATGTAATAATCTTTACTTTTGAAGTCAGTTGATACTCGTTTCAGATTGTATTTGTCCATGATGCGTGCTAATTGAGTGCGCACATTGTCTGCATTCTTTAGCGAACGGTAATTAACGAAGTTGTCGTAACACCACTGAACANAAGAAAAATGATATTTTCTACACAAACTGATACTCTTCTCATGAAGATTACATAATCCACGTCTAACGTACAGTAGTTCAAAGAGGAAGCAGACTTGAAGTTATATTTCGTCGTGATAAAAATCATGATGGACATCAATGGATTAATTCAATTACATTAGCAGAATACGGACTGCTATTGAAATAAGATCCCATCAGTTTCAAGTCTTCATCACATTCACTTAATTCACCAAAAACCAAGCCACTACAGACCCACAATCTAGTCAGATTGAATCCGCATTCACTACTTCTTTGATGGCATCCTTTCATCGCATCAACGAAACATTTAACTTCTTATGCATCAACAATCTCTTCTCCAATCTCAGAAACTAACTATGATACTGCTAAACTTCGGCACCCACCGTAACAAATCATGACAACTTCAACAGATCACGAGCAATAATTAATAGGGTTGTGCATGATCAAAAATCGAAACTGAGAAATAAATCAGAAAGATGGAACTGAGAATAAATTGCCAGCAGCAACGCTGCAAACGCCTGCTATCCCAGCCAAGCCACATAATCAACACAGTCAACGACAAAAACTAACTCTGTTTAAATGCATGATAAAC